AGGGCTACTTGACAAGGAGCTCAAAGCCCTTGGCATTGGCTTGTTGGTGCAATGCAGGCAGGTATGACAAGCCTGGAGGGGCAGCCTGCTCTGTGCCCACCCAAGCTCAGCCTTTCCTGGGGTCCAATATGAACCCCAGGGATCAGCCTGTCCAAATAGGGCAACTGAGGTCCAGAGGAGGAATGTGGAGGCCTCTCTTGGAGGGCTTTTGCTGGGCTAGACTGACCTGGGGAAACAGCCTCCTTCCCAGGGCAACCTGAGGCCAACTGCCCTAGCCCACCAGGCCTAGGAATAGCACCAAGAAGGTGGGAAGGGGCTAGGAATAGCACCAAGAGGGTCCCCAGTGCCCAGCCTTCACTCCCCACTCCCCTACAGCCCCATGACAGCATGGAACACTTTCATCCTGGGACCTGGGAGCTTGGCAGGCAGCTGGGGGTGGCTAGGCAGCAGCTGGCACCCAGGCCTTGTCCAGAGGGCACCAGGCTGCAGGGTCACAGGTGGGCAGGATGGGGGGTGAGAATTCCTGCTGAATGCTAGAAACCATGGGGCTCGAGAGCAAGAGTCCCCTCTGTCCCTCCAGAATCTTCTCAAACCTTGTCTCCAAGCTCCACTGGCCCCTGCCCCAGCTCCCACTAACTCCATCTCCACTGTCCCTTCAGTTACCCCAGGCTCACCGCTTCCTTTCCCTCTGCCTCCCACTGTCTCCCCTGTTTCCTTTCCTACTTTTGCTTCTGGTCTCACCCTCCACACGGCTCCTCTAGGAAGCCGTCCCTGAGTGCCCAGGCTGGGCTGCGCTGCTGGCCCCTACTTCCCTCCGTGGTAGACTTGGTCATGGAGGCTGAGGGGAACTGTTCATTTGTTATTCTGTCCCTCGTCCTGGGGCTAAGTGGGAGAGGACCCCACTTGAGACTCAGCTCTGAGACCCCACAACACCCGACCACACTCCAGGCACTCAAGTGCCCAGCAGTGATGGGCACGTGAAGACATGAGTGAAGAAACGAGTGTGTGACTGGGTGGATGCCATGGGCTGTGCTTGATGGGAACCAGAGGGAGGGCTGGAGCCAGGGGCCAGGGAGGAACCATGGGCAGGCCCCCCACCCATCTGGAAAAGTGGAATGGTGTGCACAGACAGACCCAGCTGGCAAGTGGCCGCAGCTGTGGCTTGGCCCCAGCAGCTCGGACGGGGGCTTCTAGAGCTGCAGACACCACAGGGGCCTCTCCAGGGGTCCTGTCCAAGACTTTACACTGGGCTTGTCCTGGCACTGTGCTTGTGAGGCCACCCTTAGGCCTCAGGCTGGGTGGGCTACCACGCAGGGAGACCAGTGTGGCCTTAGTAGGACACCTGGGTCTGGACCCAGAAGGTTTCCAGGCCTTGCCCTGATGGCCCCAGGACTTTGTCTGCAGGTGGAGTAAGAGGACTCATGAGCCTCTGCCCGCATCTCCTCCCCGCTGCTTCCGAGTGAGGCTGAGAGGGTTTTTCCTTCTGTGGCTACAGGACTCCAACTGTGAGAGGTACGTGGCCCAGACCACAAGAGGACAGGACAGTGGCCTGGAGGCCCAGGCTGCCTCCCCTGGCCCAACCTCCATGTGTCCCAAGGTGGGGTCAGCAGAGGACTCAAAAAAGAGCTGGGTCTCCAGTTCTGACTGGAGGCACTGCTCACCCCAGGGTCCCAGCAGGAGCACCTGCCCAGGGCAGGCTGTAGGTGAGCTCTGGGTCCTGGGATCCCCTCTCCTTTGCATTTTGCTGGCCGCCTGCCCACTGGGCACTGTCTGTCTATGGGGCACTGCTGTGGGCATCAACACGCAACTCCCTGGATCCCCAAAACTCACAGGTTCTGATTCCTAAGGGTCCTAGGGCACCCAGGCCAAGCGGCTCTGAGTCCCCAGGTCCATCAAGTGCAAAGACCTGATGAACAGACAGGGAGAACCCCAGGGAAGGAAGGCAAGTGCAAGCTCAGACTCAGAGGGAAACAGGCGAGGACGAGGCCCGGGGGACCGCCAGTTGGATTCCCCAGTTCCCGTGGCGGAAGGAGTCTGCAGCACCTACTCCAGCTTCGGACTCTCCCAGGAGCAAGCTGGCGGCTCTGCTGGGGGAGCTCAGGCTGTCCTGTGTGTCTGGCACACGGTGAACCAGGCACCCCTCCCTGTGCACCGCTCTGCCCCTCTACCCGCCAGACCGTGGCCCCTCCCAAGGGGCCAGCAGGACTAGCCCAGCTCGGGGAGAAGGTGGCCCACGGCCCCTCCTTCCTGATCCCCCTCCTTTACCTCCCAGTTCTGGGAGTTGTGAAGTTCACCCAGATATCTAACTCAGATCTTGCCTGCTGCTTTTTTAACTGGGTCTTTCTTGTTCTGTTGGTGAAGATAGTGTTGCTTGTCATCTCTCTGAGACCAGCCGTAGCCATTCTTTTCTCCTTCATCTCTCTGTGAACTTGGACAAGGTCCCTGGGCCTCTGTGTCCCCTCGTGGGCGGAGGCATATGAGTTGGGTAGAAGGAAGACACCAGAGGGCCTGGGTTCAAATCTTGATTCTGCCTTTCACTGGCTGTTGAGCTTGGACAGGTCCCCTTACTCTCTGTGCCTCAGTTTCACCATCTGTAAAATGGAACTAGCGCTGACCTATTTGGGGAAGGGGTGTTGTGAAGGTTGTGGACACGTGTGGAATAGGCCCAAAGTCTGGCACAGGGGTGTGCTGGTCCTCAGCCAGCTTGGGAGACAGGGGCCATCACAGAAACAGGACTCCTGCCCCTAAGGGTGGGAGCTGAGGCAGCGGAGGAGAGAGTTAGACTATAGCCAGCTTGGTGCAAGCCGGCATCAGGGAAGGAAGGGTGTGAGGTGCATCCTGGGAAAAGCCAGTGGGAGCAAAGGCAGGACTGGGGCTCACTCTGCAGGGGGGCAGGGAGGGAATGTGCTGTGGGCACCACAGTGGGTCAGGAAGGACTCTAAGGGTACACCAGTGAGACATCCTCTGCCCTCCAGGGCCAAAGGGCCCCTGTGTGCTCTGGCCACCAGACAGTGCCGAGTGAAGGGTGCAGGCAGCCCTGTGGGGCAGGGCAGGGTGGGAGCCAGGGCGGCAGCTCAGCTGTGAGCCAGGGAGGGACGTGGATCCTCCAAGAGAGGAGGAGGGGACGGAGGGGACCAGGTGGCAGCAGGGCAGAGGCTCTGTTCCCTTACGTCCATTCTACAGAGCGGGAAGCCCAGGCTCAGAGGCCCGGAGGTGTGAGTGCAGAGAAAGTCCTTTCCTCGCTCCCAGAGGCTGCTGCCTCGGTCGTCAGCTGTTGCATACCCTGAGATGGGCCGCCAGCCTCACTGGCAGCTGTGGGCACAGGCACCGCAGGGGAAGTGGGGAGAAGGGTGAGGGGTCAGAAGTTGGGGCCAGCCCAGGGCAGCACTGAAGTTGCAAAGGAACTGGCTAGCGAGCCTGGGTAGAGGTGGGCTGCCAGAACTCTGGCCCTTCTAGCCATCGGTCCCCACACCTTACCCAGCAAAGCCCACAGGAATGGCCTATGTGTGGGAGCAGCCGGGTGGCAGGCCTGGTGTGGGCGACACCTGCAGGGCAGGGCTGGCCAGGGCTAAGCACGTGGGGTCACCACCCCATGTAGCAGTGAGCCACTGAGTGGGGGTGCGAGGGGCTGGCCAGGGGAAATGCTCCCAAAATATAAGCCTTAGGGGGGGAGCCTGGGGCTGGGGTCAGGTGGGCCCCCAGGCCAGGCTAGCGGCAAGGGCGAGGCCTCCAGCGGGCCCCCTGGGAGGATGTGCAGGGCAGCCCGAGGGGACTGGGCGGGGATTGAACCAGAGCCAAGAAATCAGTACAGTCTGGGCACCAGGGCCGGGCATCTCAGAGGCTTCCTCATTCCTGGCCCTGTGGGAGTAGCCAGACCCCAGCGTGCCGCTGCCGCCGCCGATTCACTTACTGTCTCACGGGGAACCAGGGCCTCCTGCCAAACTGCCCAGCCCAGGCCCCATGCACGCCAGCCCCATGGGCCCTACTGACCACCAAGTCCTGGCCCCAGGCTACCCCCTGCTCTTAGATGGGGAGACTGAGGCTGTACATCCAGGAGGGTCGCCCCAGAGGCTGCCCATGCATCAGGAAGGAACAGGGCTGGGGCTGTGAGTCCAACGCTCTTCTGGCTGTCGCCCCTTCTCCGCACCCTGGAGGGATCCATTCCCCTTGAGAAGCCCCTCCACTGGGATCTGGGTCTGGGGCCAGTTCCGTGGGTGCCCAGGCTGGGCACAGCAAGGGTGGGGTCTGTTTGATCAGCAGTTTTGCCCGATGCCAGGCTGCTGGGACAGCAGGCAGTGGCCAGACCGGCCCTGCCACATGCCTCCGCCCCTCGGGGGAGCACTGTGCATTGCCATGTGCACGGCTCTCGCAGGCTGCAGGCTGGGAGGCCCTGCCACAGCTGGGCTCTGGGGAGGAGCAGTGGAGCCTGTGGCCAGCCGCAGGCTGTTGAGTTTCTGGGGGCCTCATGTCACCTTCCCAGGCCTGGTGAGATCAAGGCAGGCCCCAGGGCTGTGGAGCCAAAATCCACCAGACCCAGCTGGATGGACCTACAGGGACCCTGAAAGCCAGACGCCACCCTGGTCAGAGTGGAGCAGAGGCACAGGGGCCTATGGGGCCTGCTGTCCCTTCTTCTTACAGTAGCTCCGGCCCAGCCCCCGGTAACCAGGTGCCAGGCCCACAGCCCTCCTGTCCCTGCAGCCTGAGCCTGGTGCTGTCCAGCAAGGCCTCAGGGTCTGTGTCCAGTGCCCCAGTGCCCCTGGCTGGGTGGGGCCAGCCCAAAGGTGCCTGGAGGCAGGTAGGCATGACTCGAGCTCCAGGGTGGGCTCTGGGCAAGGTTCTCTGGTGTGAGGATGGGAAGGACGGCCCACAGAGGGGCACGGGGAAGCCAGATAGCTGGGGGCACATGAGGGCCTCAGGGGCTCGTCCTTGGTGGGCAGAGCATGTGTCCCCACTGGTGGGGCCGCAGCTGCAGGCGCATCGCATGGGGACTCCACACACACTCACTTTTCTGATTCCAGCTTTTATTGGGCTGAGCGCTCCCCTCCAGGGGAGGCTGCCGTCAGAAGGGTGGGACGCAGCACCTTGGTCGCCATCACCCCCATCTGGGCCACCCTGACCCCGTCTCACCCAGGCAAAGGGCCTGTTGCTGACAGACTTCGGGGTGGGCAGGGGCTCAGTGGGGTGCCCAGCAGCCAAGGGACAGTGCGAGTGGCTCGGTGGCATCAGGGGCCCCGAGGGTCTGTTCAAGCAGAAGGAGGAGCCTGGTTCGGGAGATGGGGGATGGGATGGGGGATGGGATGGGGAATAGGGATGGGAAATAGGGATGGGGGATAGGGATGGGGGATGGGATGGGGGATGGGGGATGGGGCCGCAGCCATCCCCCACTCCAGTACCCAGTGTAGGTCACAATAATTTAAAGACACTATAGACATTTCGACGCTATATAACATCATAAGTTAACCAGGCTCCTTGCAGAGGCTGCCGGGCCTATGGACTCAGGGGTGTTCTGGGACTTGGGGAAGGTGAGGGGATGGCGCCAGGCTGAGGGTGGGATATTCATGGTGGCCCAGAGACTCACAGCATCCAGGCATGGTTAGGGGCACATGGGCTGGACCACAGGGTCAGAGCCCAGGAGGGACTCACTTGCCCCAGGCTGGGCCCAGGCCCTTGGCTTGTCGGCTGCTGAAGAACACATTCCCACAGGCTTCCAAGAGAACACACCCTAAATGGGGGCCAGGCCGTGGGCAGTGGAGGGTGCACCAGGAGCCAGCGGCAGACCATCCCCTCTGGCCTCGGATGAGTTCCTCCCTCTGTCACTCACGCACCTCAGAGACAGGGGTGGGAGCGTCCAGAAAGGACACGTCCAGCTCTGGATACAGATTTTCTCAACATTGCAGTCAAGGTGAAAGGACTAGGACAGGGCCAGACAAACCCTCAAAGGCACCGAGGGGAGTGCAAGCCCCAGTGAGGCTGTCATGGCGGGGAGGGAGCAGCCGAGTGCCTCAAGGCATGGGAGCCACCTCTTGCCACCCTGGGCATCCTGATGTGTTCTCCTGGGTCCAGAGCCCCAGGCTGGGCAGGAGAAAGGTGTAAGCCTCCACTCACAGCTGCAGGGTCTCTGGCAGGTCCTTGTGCCACTCTGGGCCTCAGAGTCCCCATCTGTCAAATGGGACAAACATCCCTGACCACTCACCACTTGCCTGCCCACCCCGCAGCGGCACTGTCCCAGGGGTCAGGCTGGCTCCAGGGGGAAGGGGGGCTCTGTAAACTGGAGGTGCCAGGCTGGGAGGGCGACAGGATGAGGGAGGGAACGACACACTCCTGGAACCTGATGTGGGTGACATTTTGATTTGCTCGATATTCTTTTCTTTTTTCATTTTTTTTTTTGTTTGTTTGTTTGTTTTTGAGACAGTCTCGCTCTGTCACCCAGGCTCGAGTGCAGTGGCGCAATCTCAGCTCACTGCAACCTCCACCTCCTGGGTTCAAACAATTTTCCTGCCTCAGCCTCCCAAGTAGCTGGGATTACAGGTGCGCGCCACAATGCCCAGCAAATTTTTGTATTTTTAGCAGAGACAGGGTTTCACCATGTTGGCCAGGCTGGTCTCAAACTCCTGACATCAGGTGATCCACCCGCCTCGGTCTCCCAAAGTGCTGGGATTACAGGCATGAGCCACTGCGCCCAGCCATTGATAGGATTTTCAAAAGAAGGAAAGATGGCCTGGAGGAGCCTGTCCATGGCTCTCCTCCAAGGCCTGGTCAGGGCTGTGTGGTCCGACGCGCCCCTGCACAGCTTACTTCTAGAACCCGCAGGCACTGCATGGTCCCCATCAACCCCAGGCTGCCTCCGCTCTGCAGGGGCAGAGGGCCAGCCAGGTGGGGCTGGGAAAGGAAACAGAAAGGGTGTTGAGGGGATGGGCTGACACAAAGTACGGAGTTACGACTGGCTACGCATTAGTGCTGAGAATCCTCTTCTGATACTAAGAAAACATAAATAATTTGTGTCAACATCTGTCCCCACCGCCCCAGGGCCCAGCAGCAGACCCGGCCTGGGAATCGGTCTTGAGGGGCCAGCCAGCGTAGCTTTTCTGTGTCCATGTTGCCAGGTGGGGCAGGGGACGCTCAGTCTCGTCGTCACTTTGCTCTCTGGGATACACGTGTGTCCTGGAGGTTCATTTTCCCAGAGAGAAGAAAGGGAACTTGCTGGGCCGCGTCGGGGAGCACAAGGCCCCTGGCCTTGCTCTCTCGGTGGGTCACGGGGGCTGTTCTGCCACAGGAGGTGATGGGAGGAGGTGGCAGGAAGGAGCCCCAGGGAGGTGGGTAGAGGGCGTGGGCCCCGGCCGGTGTCCTCCTGCACGTGGAGCTCCCCGCTTCTGCACCCGCCTCTGCCTGCCGCTGGCAGCACCAAGGCAGGGAAGGCGAGGATGGATGTGCAAAATGCCGCTGGGTGTCTGGGGTGCCCGCGGCCGCCTCTGGGCCCGGCCTCACTTGCAGGTGAAGACCTCGGTGCGCTCGCTGCAGGTGTTGCACTTGACGAAGCAGCACCAGTGGAATTTGCAGTTGCACTGCCACACCTTGGTGTACTGGTGAGTGTTGTAGCCTCGGCCACAGCACATGGTGTCACAGCCGTCCGCACCGGGCGACGTGCGGTTGCAGAGGCGGCCCTGCGTGCCCACGCTGCCCGTGGCCGCGTCCTCCTCGCAGTAGTTGGGTGACTTCTCGATGTACACCAGGTCCGTCTCCATGGGCTTCTGATAGCTGCGCAGCTGTTTGATGCGCAGGAAGGTGGGCTGCCGCAGGCGGCTGGCCCGCACCACCTCCACCTGCACGGCCGCGTTGTACTTCTCCTTCAGCAGGTGGCCCACCTCTCGGAACTTAGGCAGCGTGGTCCAGCAGGTCTTGGTGGTGCAGGAGCCAGACACGCCGTGACACTTGCACTCCAGCTGCATTCGGTCCTCCAGAACCTGAGGGCGACAGGGAAGCTGCTTGGCACGGCACGGCCCAAGCTGGGCCCCTCCAAGTTCCCCTACCCCTGCCTCCAGCCCACCCCTGGAGCCCGCTCCTTCACTTGCAGCTGTGTGACCACGGGTAAGTGTCTCTCCCTCTCTGAGCCTCAGCCTCCTCACCCATTACTTGGAGCTGCTAACAATAGGTCTCCACTGCATAGGAGGGTGTAAGGGTGCAGTGAGAATATTTGGGACTTGGCAGAGCCTGCTGTACATTTATCGAAGGTATTTTGTTAGACTCTCACAGCCCTTCAAGGAGATGCTATGTCCTGGTCATGCACTGGTGAGGAAACTGAGGCTTGGGGCTGTGGGACCTGCTGCAGGTCACAGGTGGGGTTCGCCCAGCAACAGTAGGTACTTAATAAATGCTCATTACCCCACCCTGCCATCTCTCCTGCTCCCCACCCTCGGGCTTGGCGTAGGGTCTGGCATGCAGTTGGTGCTTAACAAATGGCTGTTTAATGGAAGCCTGAAGTGCCGGTGGCCCTCGGTGCACATTTGCCCAAGGCCGGAGGGTGAGCAGGGGAGGCGAGTACACAAGTCAGTGAGGCCCGGGCGTGCTGAGAAGCCGACAGCCCCGGCCCGACCGCTGTTGTTCTTCCTCCTCAGCTCCACAAGGGCCCTCCACGGGTGCAGTGTTTTCCTTGGGCCTCCCTCCATGGCCCCAGAAGGCTGATTCCCAGAGCCAGCCCTGACCCCAGGTACTCATTTACCCGGATCGAAAGGGCCCTGCCAGCCGGGCCTGATTGAAGATGGGGAATTATTAGCTGGCGCCCCGCGGCTGCAGAGGGGCCATTTGTCAGCTGTCAGAGCTCTGCTGGCCTCGCTCGGCAGCCCAGCCCTGCCGGGGCTTGGCCACCCTCTGTCCCTCGGGCCAGAACTCACAGTCATGGGGCACCTGCTGTTGGCCCCCAGCTCTCCCCAGTGGAGAAGTCCCCCAGGAAACGAATGAATGAATGAGTACAAGAAAAAGAGGGAGAGAAACAACTCCACAGAGATGGCTACTGCCCCGAGCAGCTTCCCTGGCCTGGCTGCATGAGGCCCTCTGGGGCTCGCAGTTCAGCATGGGACACAGCGAAGGTGCTGCAGGAACCCAGGAGAGTCTAATCCTGCTGGAGTCAGGGTGCTCGAGGTAGGGGCTTCCTGGAGGAGATGTGGGTATTGATGGATGTGTCGGAGCTCATTAGAAAAGGGGACAGCATTCCAGAAGGGGTTCAATGTGAGCAAAGGTCTGGAGATCACCAAGCATGAAGGAAAAGACTGGGCCCAAAGGCTCAGCAGGTGGGTGCTGGGTGGGCCCTAGGCTGGCAGCCTGGAGCTGGGGTGTCCTCTGCTCTGCATCAGTGATGCCCTTGGGCAAAGACTGGGGAGACTGGGGAGACTGGGGAGAGGTGGCAGAGCGAGGCTGATGCCCCCCCCAGGATGGCTGAGGGTGGGAGGAGTCCAGGAGTCCTGAGAAGAGGGTGGGGCAGCTTTGGGGAATTGCAGGGCTCAGAGGCTGGGCTGAGGGGCGTCTGGGCCAAGGTCGTGGGCCAGAGCCTGGACTGGGTGTCTGGGCAACCCCCAGAGAGTATATTGGGACCTCCTCCCTGTCTCCTGCCCCTCTCCCATCCTGTCCATCACCCCAGCTCCCTGTTCATCTCTGCTGGGATCTGTCCCCTCCCGGAAAAGCCCCTCCCTCCACTAAACTGCCCCTCAAGCCTGGAAGCATTGCTGGCCCTGGCCACACGGCCTGCCCGGATGCTCCCCAGGCCGGGCGCCACTCCAGGAGCTGCCCTGATGGTGGCCCCTCTCGGAGTTCCCAGCTGGGAGAAGTTCACCCCACCCCTGGCTGTTCACCCTCCTCAGATGGGCCTGGATGGCCGGAGACCTGGCAGGCCTGTCCAGACTAGAGGGTGTGCAGGCCACGTGGTCCAGGCTCAAGCTGCCCTCTAGTGCTCCCGCTGTAGCCCAGGATGGCTGCCCCTGGTACTGTGCTCGGCATCCCTCCCCCTCCTCCCTCGCCTACCCCTGTCTCCCAGTCTTCATCAAGGCCAGGGAGCCCAGTTGTATGCTACTGCCCGCCTGGGGACAATCGGCCCCTGCAGGGCCAGGCCGGTGACCATCCGCAGATAAAGCCTAATGGGCCGCTGTTTGCAGAGCGAGGGGCCACATCCTCGCTTGGCTGGGTCCCTTGGGTCAGAGCCTCTCCCAGGAAGTGATCACAGGGTTCAAGAATGTGCCATTTCCTTCACCAGTGCCCTGGCTATTCGAGCCACAGCAACGGTGGCACCAGCGCTGAGACCTGCCCCCTGCCCCAGGAGACCACCTGGCAGGGCGCAGAGTGAGCTCATCTTGCTCAGAGGAGCTGCAGGCTGCAGCAGGGGCCGTTCCTCCAGGCCTTGGTTCCTCCTTGACCCTGGGGGCCTGGTTGGGTGGTGGGGTGGTAGACTGAAGGGGCTCCAGGAAAGGGCCAATTCAATGTTCTTTCCCGAATAAGGGTGTAGCCTGGAAACAGTGCTCAGGTATAGCCAGGCAGGGGAGTCATGGGGTTGGTGGACTAAAGTCCTTCTAGGGGGAGGCTGACCAGCCCAGGAGCCTGGCGTCCAATATTCCAGCCACTGGGGCCGACAAAAGGCATCTCACCCCGGATCCTGGCGATGGCCTGGGGCTGTGGAACGAGGTGCCTCACACCCTCTTCCACAGCACCTCCCATGCCTGCTGGTCCCTGCCCCTAAGTGTGGCCCTGACCTGTGAGCCCCTCAGGGACACAGCCCATGTCTGCTTCACCCTCTGACCACGAGCCCACAGAGTGGATTGAGTGTGGCCTCAAGTGAAGTTATGTCGTGAGCCACTGGCCGAGGAGAGAGTGTGGAGGGTGTGCCCCTCCCAGGATCCGGCACTCCCATTAGGATGGTGTGAATGATATGCCCACCCAGCAGGACGCTGTGGACCCTCAGTCAGGGAAGAGCTGTGCCAAGATGTGGGACATGGCCAGCTAATGGGGTTCCCAGCCCCCAGTTCCAGGAGCTAGTGGCACTCCACAGCGATGGCTTCTAACCTCATGTCACCAAGAGAGGTGCCCTCAGCTGTCCTGACACCAGCCCCCAGGCCTCTGCAGATGGACAATCTCCTGCCTTCACTGGGTTTGTCTTGGGGACATGGCCTCTGTCTGCCCTGCTGACCTGCCCCACACAGCAGTGGGGACCATGCACCAGGGGCAGAGCCAGCGCCGGGCACTGGGCACTCAGGTCTCCAAAACCTCAGGGGCTGCTCAGAGCTTTCTGCACAGGCACCCTGTGGCAGCCCATTAAAGGCCACTCTAGCCCACCAGGGAGCTTGGGGAAGGGCAGTCAGGGCCTTGGTCTGGTAGAAGTGGGGGCAGGGCGGGGGCGGGCCTTCAGACTCTGCCCATCTCACTCTTGCCCACCAGGGACACCAGCCTGGGCCACATGCCAGCTTGGGGAATGGCACAGTAACCCCCCAAATTCACGTTTGCTCAGAGCCTTGGCAAGTGACTTTATTTGGAAGTGAGGTCTTTACAGATATGAGTAAGGAAAGGATGGAGAGGAGGTCACCCTGGGTTGTCCAAGTGGGCCCTAAATCCAATGAGAGGGTCTATACAAGAGATGGAGAGGGCCAGGCGCAGTGGCTCACGCCTGTAATCCTAGCACCTTGGGAGGCCAAGAGGAGCGGATCACCTGAGGTCAGGAGGTCCAAGACCAGCCTGGCCAACATGGTGAAGCCCCATCTCTACTAAAAATACAAAAATTAGCTGGGCACAGTGGCACACACCTGTAATCCCAGCTACTCGGGAAGCTGAGGCAGGAGGATTGCTTGAACCTGGAAGGCAGAGGTTGCAGTGAGCAGAGGTCAGGCCACTGCATTCCAGCCTCCAAGCAAGACTCCGTCTCAAAACAAACAAACAAACAAACAAACAAAAAAGAGATGGAAGAGAAGAAGACTCAGGCTCAGAGGAGACCTGGTGAAGACAGAGGCAGGGGCTGGAGGGAGGTGGCCACAGCGGAGGAACACTGGGAGCTGAGGAATGCTGGGAGAGCCAGGAAGCATCCTCCCCTGGTGCCTAGAGGGAGTGCAGCCCTGCCAACCAGCACCTCGATTTTGGACTTGGGGCCCCAGCGCTGAGAGAGAACAGATGTCCTTTGCCGTAAGGCCCCACTTGCGCCACTTGTCTGTGGCAGCAAGTCAGCTGCTCTCCACCCACCTCACTGCGCAGTGGGGTCCTGAGGAAGTGGGGCGGGGGGGGCAGAGGTGGGCCTGGTACTCTGTGATGGGGCCAGGATCCCAGCATCAACCCAGGAAGGGCTGGACTCAGTGCTTATGGAAATTTCCAGAAGCCCCACCCTACACTCACCCCCCCACCGCCATGATGAGCACCGTGCTCTTTAAAAGGACCCTGTCCTGAGGGTCACCGTGACACCACCACCCTTGGCCTTTTCCAAGGGCTCAGGCCACACTTGTGCCCCACAGGTGCACAGGGTGGGGGCTGTTGGAGGGGCAGTGAGGAGTCGGGGGGACAAAGTGCATTGCACCTGCTGTGCAGATAAGAAGGCCAAGGCTCCGCAGAAGCATGGGTCAACCAGGGCCTCACCGACCATCCGAGACAAGGCTGGTAGGAGAGTTGGCCACTGGTGGCATTGTCAGAGCCCTTTCCTGTGGCTGTCCTCTTTGTCCCCTGCCCACCTGTGGGGACCGTCACCAGTCTTCTTGTTTTCCCACCTCCTGTCTCCCCAGGGGCCAGTCCTACCTGCCTCCATTTCCCTTCTGCCTTTCCATCACTTGTGAGTCACCAGACACCTCCAAGTCCCATACCAAGTCAGCCCTGGGGTTCACACGGCACCCTAGAGCTAAATCAAACACAACTCTGGCCCTTGAGTTGGTCAGTGTCACTGCCCCAGGGCCCTGCAATGACACCTGTAGCCCAGAGACCAACAACACCCTACCCAGCCATCCCCGCCCTGGTCTTGCCACACTGCCTACCACGACCTGGGTCCCCCATGCCTTTACCTGTGCTATTCCCTCTGCCTGGAGCGTCCTTCCCCACTTCTCTGCTGTGTACACTTCCCCACGAGCAGGGACCCGAGCCACTCAGCCAGGTCTGCTGCTCACTCTGGGCCTCATTCTCCTTATCTTTAAAATGGGGACAGTGAGAGCTTCTTCCCCGGGGGTGTGAGAAAGGCTCTGCTCAGAACCTAAGCAGCTGCAGAGGCTCAAGGGTGGTGGTGGTTCCCATGAGGGCTCAGCCTCGCCTTCTCCTCCTACTTCTCCTCCTCCTCCAGGGACTCCCCCAGGGAGTCCAGGTAAGTGACCCACACTTTCCTCTGGCCTCTTAAGGTTCGTGAACCTCCATTTATGGCATGGACTGTGATCTGCCTGTACCTGGAGACTAGTGTTCACATGCTGTCTGTGAGTTCCTTGGAGGCAAAGGCTGTGTCACTGATTCCTTCATCCATCCATCTATCCACCCATCCATCCATCCTCCCATCCATCCACCCATCCACCCATCCACCCACCCATCCTTCCATCCATCCATCCCCATCCATCCATCCATTCGTCCACCCATCCATCCACCTACCCATCCACCCATCCTTCCACCCATCTTTCCATCCATCCATCCATCTATCCAACCATCCATCCATCCATCCATCCATCCATCCCCATCCATCCATCCATTCATCCACCCATCCATCCACCTACCCATCCACCCATCCTTCTACCCATCTTTCCATCCATCCATCCATCTATCCATCCATCCCCATCCATCCATCCATTCATCTACCCATCCTTCCATCCATCCATCCATCCATCCATCCATCCATCCATCCATCCATCCACTCATCCATCCACTCATCCATCCATTCATCCATCCACCCATCCATCCACCCAACCATCCACCCACCGATCCATCCTTTCATCCATCCATCTACTTATCCATCCATCCTTCCATCCGCCCATGCATCCCATCCACACATCCACTCAACCATCTACTCACTCATCCACCCATCTATCTACCCATCCATCTATCCTCCCATCCACTCATCTATCCATCCACCCACCCACCAATACTTCCATCCATCCTTCCACCCACCCACTCATCCTTCCATCCATCCTTCCACACACCCACCCATCCTTCCATCCATCCATCCCCTCATTCATCCATACTTCCATCCACTCATGCATCCACTCATCCATCCACCCATCCATCCATCCATCCTTCCATCCATCCATCCACCCACCCATATACCCATTCTTCCATCCATCCATACACTCATACATCCACCCACCCATTCATCCACTCATACATCCACCCATCCATCCTTTCATCCATCCATGCATCCAGTCATCCATCTACTCACCCATCCATCCACCCATCTATCCACCCATCCGTCTATCAATCCACCCATCTACCCATCCATCCATTCATCCATCCATTCACCCATCAATCCGCTCATCCATCCACCCACCTATCCATTCACCCATCCACCCTGCCATTCATCCATCCACCCATCCATCCATCTAACAATAACTTAATAACCACCTGCATAATAACCTCCACATCTACAAGAGAAAGTCAAATCGTTGGCCTGGTGTTCAAGATCTCTTCTTGAACAGGCCCTACTTCTTGTGCCAGGCCCTACTTGCTTCCCAAGTCCTGTGGCCATCAAGCCTTCACTCTGACACTCTCCTACACAACCAGGCCCTCACCATCCTGGGTGTGACCCCTGAACCCCTCTTGTGGACGCGGTTCCCATAGCCAAGGCCTTGTCTGATTCCTCTCTGCCCTGTGCCCAGCCTAGCACCTGGCACAGAAAAGGGCAGTGAGTGACCAGTGGTCTCAGCTATAGTCCCTGGGCCCGAGGGATTCTTCAACTCCTCTTTGCCTGGAATGGCAAGTCTGTCCCACACCTGAGGAGCCCCCTAGGCTCTGCTGCCCTGGGTGCAGCCCCCAGGCCTCGGAGCCAGAGCCGGCTGGGTGTTCCACTTGGCTGGCCACCCTATCTCAGGCCATCTTGCCGCCGTGCGGCTGCTCCTCCCAGCCCAGTATCTGGGGCCCTCATCTCCAGCGGGCGGAGCCTGGCTTGCTCTGACTTCTTCCCCAGTGTGTCCCTGCCTGAATTTCCTCCATTGCCACCCACCACACTCCGTCCCGCCCTGTGCAGGAGCAGCCTGCTCCCCAGCAGACCCCAGCTCACAGCGTCCACCTTCCTCAGGCTGCTCCTGCCTCCTGGGGGCATCCCTTCCTTGCTGAGTAAAAAGGCTGCCTCTGTCAGGAATTCTTTCCTGGTGTGCTGATGTGACCTCTGGGACCAGGAACGCCAAGGGCAGGGACAGGGGCTGTGGCCTGGGACCTCCCCTCACCAGGTCCCCAGCCAAGCCCAGCTCACACCCTGCATGGAAATAGGGTCCCCGTCTTAGCTGGGGGCTGTGAGCATCGCGTCAGCACTCAGAGCCTCAGCTCTCACGTCTCTGGATGGGGACAGCCTCCTCCAGGTATTAGGAGGCTCAGAGCCATGCACGTGGAGGACCCAGACGGCCCCACCTGCTGCACACCTATGGAGACTCAACTGCTTCTGCTAGAAGAGGAGCCTGAGGCTCCGAGAGGTCAGCGGGTGACATACCAGTCCCAGCTAATGCCCCCACCAGCCGCACCCGCACCCTACCTTCCTGCCGGCCTCATTGTTGTGCAGGTTCATGAGGCGCCGCGCGTTCTTCTTGATCTCCCGAGCGTCCACGAAGCGCCGGGAGAAGTCGATGCCGTAACGCACGTCGGCCGAGCAGCCACCCCACTTCCAGCCCTCGGCCTGGTTGTAGTAGCCCTGCTTCTCTCGGTCACAGCCGCAGTTGCTCAGGTTGCCTTGGCTGCAGGCAGCAGTGACGGCGTGCGCTACGCCAGCCGCGGTGATGGCATACGTGAAGGCAGCCTCACGGCTCCCTGCGGGGACAGACAGGTGCACAAGGTGAGGCCCCAGGCCCTGGGCCAGGTGGGCTCAGGGGATGAAGTGCCGGGCCTCGATCCACCTGCTGTTGGCCAGTTGTGTGACCCTGGGCTCATTGCTTGCCCCTCTGAGCCTCTGACTCACCAAAGCAGGGCTGATGGGAGCCACCTCTCAGGGCTATGGTGAGGGCAGTGCCTGGAATACAGCAGGCCCCAGTGCACCCTGAGACCCGCCCTCCAGCATGCAGCACTGCCGACGGCTTCTCTCCCTGTTCCCAGGACTGGGCGGGAGAGGCCCAGTTTCTCCAGCCCTGAGAGTGAGCAGTGGGGACCCGTGGAGGGGATGGGTATCCCTGCCTCTGCCCCTCCCCTCTGCCAGCCTCCCAGGAGCCCCTTCTCGTGAACGGGCATTTGCACTGACCCCGTGGGGACCAGCTATGCATGGCCAATGGAAGCTGGGGCCACGGGGAGCATGAGGGGCCTCACCCCCACCCCAAGCCAGGAACCCAGGTAGAAGTCACACAGCTCAGAAGCCCTTTGTTGCCATCTCCCCTCTTGGTCCACCCACCTTCAGTCCATCTCCAGATCCTGGGCCCCTTTTCCTCACCTCCTCCTAATACCCCTGCCTGACCCAGGGGCCCCAGAACTGCCTGGACCTGGGCAACAGTCCTCCCTGCCTCCCTCATCCCCCCAGCCACCAGCTGGTTCACTCCAAGGGCTGTCTGGCCAGGGCCCTCGCTGGCACCTTCGCTGATTCCCTCTGCTGGTAGAGCCAAGCCCACGACTGAGCTGGGAAGGGAGGGTCCCAGGTCAATGCCCGCTGGCTGCCCCAGCCCTCTCTCCCCATCCTCTGCCCAGAACAATGACTCAGTCTTTCCAGGCGCTGCCCACATCCCCTGGGGATTATGTGGTCTTTTGGTGGAATTCCCTCCTGCTTCATACCCAAATACCAAGGACCTTCCAAGGCCCAGGTCTGAGGCCTCCCCGTCCAGGCAGCCTTCCCAGACCCCCGGACAGAAGGGAGCACTTGGTGCCTGACCCCTCAGTTCCAAATCTGACCCAGATCCGGACACCCTCTCCCTGGTGAGTCTTACAGGTGGGGACTTCCATATGCGTCCGAAGGCCCCTGAGATGGGCAGGTTCAGCTCTCATTTCCTCTTTGTTTTCCCCAGCCCCAGGCCAGGCCCTGTGCAGCCTTCCATCCTGACCCTGGACTCTTGGGTCCCTCTCAACCTGCCCCTGCCTGGGTCTGTGTCATTCCTATGTCCCCAGCACCTGGCCCATGTGGACACCGAGCAGGCTCAACTGCGCCAGCTGGAGGACCAAGACCCAAACTCCAGCGAGCGGGAACCTCCCTGCCCATCTCAGCAACAGGCAGAACAGGGCCGGTGCTCAGCCCAGGAGAGGGCAGCTGGAGACTCACACTGCTGGCATGGCACAGTCCCCTGCCCAGCACCCGCGAGCACCCACACAGCCCTCAGTTGCCCACTGCTGTGCCTGTTATTGGGGCTGAGGTGACAGCCCACAGATTGAGACACAGTCAAGTCAGGTCTGTTCTATGAACAACCATTGAGCACCAACGGCATGCCCAGCCTTGTGCTAGGGGCTATGTGTGTGCTCTGGGGCCACTTCGTTGCCCGCAGCCAGCTGGGGGCTCAGCCAGGTGGGGTCCCTCTTCCCTAGGGTATCTTCCATCAGGGTGAGAACTGGGGTGGGACCCACCAGCGTTAGGAGAAGACCTTGGTGGGCTGTCTGTCTGCTGTCATGGAGGGAGCCACGGCTTCCTAGGAACTTCCTTCCTGAGAAGAACTAAGGGGAGGGTAGTGTCCAGCATCCCTCCCTCCCCAGCAAGGTTCGAGACTGCAATGATCAGCCTCCTCTGAGCTGCAGGCAGCACGGCCCCTGCCTTCGAAGGGCCTCATCCTGCCAGCCTCTCCTCCTCTGGCCGCTGTCCACCCACACTGCCCACTCTCTGCCTGGGCCAGGGCCAGGAAGATTTAGGAATTCACCTCCCCAAGTCTAAATTAGGTCAAGATGACCCAAAGGGAAGCCCTTGCATGATGTGTGAAGTGGGGTATTAAACGCCCCATCCTGTCTGCATTACCCAAGCACAGCAGGGCCTGCTGGCAAGAAAGCCTCGGAAATATCTCATGGGGGTAGGGGTAGGGGGCAATAAACCAAGAGGAGGATCCCAGTAAAGGGTCGAGAAGGGCCACAGAAGGGTCACGGCACCTCAAAGGATTAACTGACCTGCCTCTGTGGAGTGGAGTCAAGGAAGGCTTCCTGGAGGAGGTGACATTTTAAGTAGGTACAGTCTTAACAAGAAGCATGGATTCACGTGTGTGTGTGTGTGTGTGTGTGTGTGTGTGTGTGTGTGTGTGTGTGATGTGTATGTGTGGCTGTGGTAGGCATGTACTCCCAGCATGGTCACACAGAGGCAAAGATGCTGAGCTGTGGAAGGGTATGGTGAGGTCATGAGTGGCCATAGAGGAGGGGGAGAATGTCTTGCAAGCAGGTGGCACTTTCTGTCCAGGTGCCAGGGCCAGCTGCTAGGGAGGGCTGGATGTCAGGGCGCTTGCCTGGCCACACAGGTGTGGATTCTGGAACACTCAGAGGCCGGTTGACACCAGCACCAGTGTAGCCCATCCTCAGGGCTCTCCCCGTGCACGGGGTGCGCACCCAGCCCTCACACGCGCTCCCATTTCACCTGGACGTTAGGGTGAGGTGCGTCCAGCCATGAGTCCCAGTTTACAGAGGAGGAAACAAAGGCACAGAGAGTGGCTGGAGCAAGATTCAGACCCAGGGAATGAATTCAAAGACCAGGAAGGCTGACGGAGGAGCAAAGCGCCTAGGGTCGGGGGCGCTGGAAGCTCTTCTGCCCCCACCTTGGCCTGTCTGAGTCTAAGGTGACCTGGGGCAGCAGGAGAGGGCGAATGTGGGCTGTGCAGCCCCCAGGGAAGATGCTGCCTGTGAACAGTCTGTGGACTTGGGGGGCAGGGGCAGCTGCAGGCAGGCTCTGGGTGGGAAGCTCTAGGGAGCCTGAGCTGGCTTCGGAGTGGGCACGTGTCACCTGACGGAGGGGGTCTAGGAACCCCAAACGATTGTGTGGGCCCAGCCGGTGGAGTTTGAGGACAGATGTGGATGTCCCCTCAGAGGTCCTGGAACAACAGCCTGTGATCCTCCTCTTCCTCCCCCATGGCAAGGCTGCAGAGCGGGTCAGAGGATGCCACTGTCCTGAAGTGCCTGAGCAGGCTGGCAGGTCCACAGTGGAGTTTGCACACTTGGAGGACGCTTCCTACAAGCCTCCCTTCCAGCCTCCCGCAAGCGCCTGCTCTCACCCGGCTATGCCCGCCCCAGGCTTAGACTCAGTTACTCACCAGTTACTCATCGCCTGCCGCTCCCGCTAATTCCTTTTTTATTTGCTTTTAATGAGCCAAACTCTCTGGTCTCCCATGGAGACAAGCAGGAGGTGAGCTGCAGAGAGTCGTAGTTTTGGGAGAATCAATAAGAATGACGTTAGGTCCAGCAAGAGTCGCTCCCGTGCGCCTGGCACGTTGCCTGTGTTGTCCGGTTAAATTCTCGCAGCAGCCCACGGGGGAGGACCCGTTACCCGATGTTACTGACCTAGACGCCCACTCCAAGGGCTTTGTCATGGAGTGCCTGGGTGTGTAGTGAGAAGGGCAGAAGGGCTGCAGGCTTCCCCCGTGTCTCTCCCCAAGTCACCCCTGGAGCCGTGACTGGGGCACCTTGCCAGTCCATGCACACACCATGCTTCCTCCAGGCTGACAGCGAGCTAGCGCTTAGACTTAGAAGCCGGTCCTCTAAGCGGGTGCAGACAGACTGGACCCATGCGCCTTGCTCAGCAGCTGTTAGTAGCCCCCAAGGCCTCTGAGATGACTTCCAGTGACTTGGCCTGGCCCCCAAGGTCCCAGAGGCCTGATCCCACCAGTCCTCGCCCACCACTGTCTGCAGCCCAGTGTGGCCCGCCTGCAGGTTGGGCAGCCACCTCCGGCGCACAGTAACTACTCCTGAATAAAGGACCTGCTGGCTTCCTGCCGCCTGCCCTGGGGACAGCAGCCCCTTCTCTTCCTGGAATACCTGCCCACTCTCCCACATATCCATGCACTACTCAGGCTCTGGACGCAGGCAGGGCTGCTCCCTGCTCCCCGAATTCCCACTGTGGTGGGCACGCCCTCCTCTGGGCTCTCACTAGGTGCTCCTCAGGCTGCAGGGATGGTGGGCAGGATCCACGTCAGATTCTTTTGTGTACCCCCCACCCACCCACTGCTGTTTCCCAAATCCCATGCATGAGCAGGTCTGGGCTGGTCACCTCCCTACCACCACCTTGTCTCCAAGACAGCCCCGTTCTGATCAGACCCATTTCACAGATGGGAAAACTGAGCCTTCAAAGCAGGAAGTGATTTGCAATAGACCCATGGCAGGGACCACAGTCATCTGAGCTCAGCAGCTGCCCTAGATGTGTGTGGTGATGGGGAAGCTGGATGAGGGCAGCATGGATGCTCTGTTTGGGGCCGGCAGCTGTCCTGCTGATACACTTGGGGCTCGGGAGGCCTAGGGGCCTCTCTGAAGACCCACAGCTTACCCAAGCACAGGTCTGTACCCTCAAACTCTAGAGCCAGCAGCAGCAGCCAGCCGTATCCCTAGAAAATGCCAGAGCAGGCTATATTCTGGCCACCCCTCATCCCACAGCCCTCAAGAGCACTGGGCGGGTTTCTGAGTAATGGTCCCGAAGCTTCCAGCCCCGCTGCAGGATTCACTGTTTCCAGTGCAATCTATCTCTGGTGCCTCGGCAAGTCACCAACCCTCTCTGAGCCTGTGTTCCCATTTGCCACATGGAACTCAAAGTCCTCACCTTGCTGCACAGCCCTAGTTGCCAGCTCAGAGCAAACAGGACAAGAGGGCACGGTACCCACATCACCAAGATGGTGGGCAGTCCAGGGCCGGCTGAGGGTGGACCAGATGCAGCAAAGGACTCC